CGGCATTCCGTCTCTCTCCCTCTCGATCATCTACAAACGAAAAGTCAAATCAGGTTAATTTTGTTCCTTTTTCTGTTCGATTCTTCGATTTTGGTAGGGCTCGCGGATTCCGATCGTCCATGGCTGCTCCGAAGGGTTTCTGATCCTGGGTTTCCGAGATTTTCACTTGTGGAGTTTGATCGTCTTCTTCCTCTGCAATGGCTTGGGATGAGAACAAACCCAAGAGGCTCTATCAAGTTTGGAGGGGAAGCAATGTAAGTATCGCCCGAAATTCACTTGCTTTTGGTCTGCGGCAATTTTCCTTCTTCTTTCTGACGTGAGGTTCGATTGATTTTGACCTAATGCTTTTTCCCTTTTTCTGGGGCGATCATAGAGCTTAGGTATCTTTCCGTTCCATCTGAAGATTCTTGATTCAAAGGGTTGTCAACTTGTCATCCAATGTGATTTTTCCCCTACAAGGAGGAAATTCTTAGGGCTTTAATTGTTTTCTTTGAGTTCAAGCAATTGGGTAATAGAGTTATGATTATCTCTCTTTGGTAATTAGGTCAGTGTGCAAGCTAGTTCTGTTTGTAATCTATCTCATAAGTTGACACAATTCAGTTGTCGTCTTCCTTGTTGCAATCTTAGGAATATTCGGAGCTTCCGGCGTGTTTCTTGACCTTGAAAAGTCAAAAAGTGAATGAATTTCTTGATTTTGATCTGTTAGTAGTTGTTGATGCTAACTACATAACCTAGCAGTAGTCTCACAGCCGAATTGATTTCCTCTTTCTGAATTAGATTACGCTAATATAGCTGTTCGAGCATCTGTGATTTTGTAGATTGTGGCTTGGAACTCTTTTTTATCCTTGTGTTCATGCTTTTTCTTCAATGTTATCTTCCAATCCTTGTAATGGTTTTATATTCCTTTCTCAGAAATTCCTTTGCGGCGGGAGGTTAATCTTTGGTCCAGATGCTTCATCTCTGTATCTATCCTCCCTCCTGATTGTTGGTCCTGCCATTATGTTCTGTGTTAAAATGTACATGAAGATAAATGACCCTCTTACCAAAAACGCTGACCGCTGTATTCCGGTTTTGGCCGTTACCTGGATTCTCACCTTTTTGGTATGTCTTCTTTTTTCATCTCTTTATAATAATCGAGAAATGTATTCGGACAAGCCGAGCTGATGCATGATTCTTAGCAATGTATTGTGCATTCTGAAACTGAATTCAGTTCTGCAGGATATTTTTTTCCTCTTCATGACGTCTGGTAGAGATCCTGGAATAGTGCCGAGAAATTTGAGGCCCCCTGAATCAGATGAAATGCTGGATTCAAATACTCCATCGATGGAATGGGTTCATGGTAGAACCCCAAATATAAAACTACCAAGGATCAAAGATGTGATCGTCAATGGCCATACCGTGAAAGTGAAGTACTGTGACACTTGTCTGCTATACCGTCCTCCTCGTGCTTCCCATTGTTCTATCTGCAACAACTGCGTCCAAAGATTTGATCACCACTGCCCATGGGTTGGCCAGTGTATTGGATTAGTAAGAAGCCACCATTAAATAGTTTTGAGAAATCTTATGGTGATATATAACCCATTTTGGAAAAACCCACGAAGCTTGAACTAGAAATCTAACTATTACCAACCTTTCTGAGAACTAATGGGTTTTGCGTTTTATTGTCTGGTTGCAGCGGAATTACCGGTTCTTCTTCATGTTCATATCAACATCAACCATTCTGTGCATATATGTCTTTGTGTTTTCCTGGCTGAACATTTTCCAGAGGCATATGGACGAAAATATCAGTATCTGGAAGGCTATATCCAAAGATGTGCTATCGGATATCCTCATAGTTTACTGCTTTATAGTCGTGTGGTTTGTCGGTGGCCTCACGATCTTCCATTCCTACCTCATCTGCACTAACCAGGTTATTCTCTTATTCCTCAGCAATCAAAGAAAATCCAGGTTCTATCTGTATGTTTGTTTTTCTCCGCCTTCATTGAAATTGAGAATTTATAAGTAGTGTTGTTAGTTCCTTGATTTGATCTTGAAACTTTTGTGCAGACAACATATGAAAACTTCCGCTACCGCTATGATAAAAAGGAGAATCCATACAATAAGGGTGTGCTAGGAAACTTACGGGAGATATTTTTCTCAAAGATCCCTCACTCAGTGAATAAGTTCAGATCATTTGTGAAGGAAGACGAACATGTGATGGCAGAAACCCCTACCTCAAATTTCGGTGAAAGTCTAGTTAGCTCGAAGGAGAAGATCGACATCGAGATGGGAAACAGGATTGTTGATGAGAATGGAAAGAGCTACTCACTTCCTGAGATTCTCCGAAACCTCAACTATGAAGACCTCGAGGATGATTATGACGACTTGAAGAGTAAGGATCACGATCAAGGATTTCCATCTTTCGACCCGTTCTTTACTTCCGAGCAAGAAGATGGCAGAAAGGAGCTTGCCCGAATGTCAAAAGGTGGTAAAGGAGGAGAAGAATATTCTTTCAGTTCCAGTGACGAAGATGGGGATGCAGAAAAAACCATCCGGATCTCCATTGACGACGAAGAAGAAGAAGAAGAAGAAGAAGAAAGAGTTGGAAGGCATGAAGAAAATCACAATCCAGGTGAAAGCGCAAACATTCACGAGAAATCCGACGATGAAACAAGCTCCCCTCGATCCACAACACCTGTTCTTCGTAAATAGAGGTATGGATTGTTCCCTTCTTCTGTCTGTAGAATCTTTTTTTCTCTCTGCAATTTCTGTTCTTGATCCCTGAAAGATTCACACAAATGGCTACCCACCACCAGTCGTGGGCTTGTTGCTTTTCTTGCAAGGAATGTTTTTTTGATCTTGAAACTTCATATCCAGATTGAGCAAAAGGCTGCAGGATCTGAAGGAAGCCTTTTACATAATCTGTATTTCTGGACTGGAGAAATGGGGATTGTGCTTCTTCAAGGTTTGTTTGTATACTCTTTTACTGTGATTGAGAATAAGGTAAATTCGGAGGAAATAAGAACAAGTAGGGTTGGTGGGGGTGTGTTTGAGCCTTTTAGATTTCTTTCCCTTTTTTTAAAAAAAAAAAATTCGTTCTTTTGATTGTTTTTCTTCTTTTTGGGGGCCCTTTAGTTGCATTACACATCTGATTTCTTTTATTTTTTTTGGGTTATTATGGAAACAGAAATTTATAATGTATACTTGTGTATTTTTTTTTATAATGATTGCACTTATTTGTTTATTGTTTTTTTTTATACATTGCCTGTGAAAAGGGTATTTTCATTTATTTATTAATTTATTTCATTCTATCTTCAATAAGAAAACATGTAGATTTGCATCAGTGATTCAGTATCTTTGCTTCAACTCTTAAATCCAACCCCATCCACAACTTGTCATCTCAAAATCATGATATTATCAGAAGAGGACAAATGAAATCAAACAGCCCTATGACGTAACGCCACGTGTCAAGAGCCCACTTCAGACAGATTCCAATGGATGAGATTCGACGAGGAACACTCACCAGTTATGCTATAAGCACCTCACAGCCTCTGATTCTCCCCTCTCGAGACCATCTCTCTCTCTCTCTCTCTCTCTCTCTCTCTCTCTCTCTCTCTCTCTCTTTGTGAAGCTCAACAACAATGGCGGCCGAGATGGCTCTCGTGAAACCCATTTCCAAATTCACCTCGCCCAAGCTGACCAACCCGAGTACATACCTCGCCGGCCGCCGCTTCTCCACCGTGAGGATGTCGGCCACCGCATCTCCGCCGCCAGCGACGGCGAAGAAGGCGAGCAAGAAGGAGATAAATGAGACGCTGCTAACGCCGAGGTTCTACACGACGGATTTCGAGGAGATGGAGCAACTCTTCAACACCGAGATAAACAAGAACCTGAACCAGGCGGAGTTCGAGGCTCTGCTTCAGGAGTTCAAGGCCGATTACAACCAGACCCATTTCGTGAGGAACAAGGAATTCAAGGAAGCAGCCGACAAGCTCCAGGGCCCTCTCCGACAGATCTTCGTCGAGTTCCTCGAGCGGTCTTGCACTGCTGAGTTCTCTGGTTTCCTTCTCTACAAGGAGCTCGGAAGAAGGCTCAAGGTTTATCTCTCTGTCTTGAGGTTCAGTTTGTGGAGTTTCGTGTTAGATTCTTGTCGTTTAGCGACGATTTAAGAGCTGGTAATTCGAGTTTTGGGATAGTGTAAGCGTGCATGAGCTAAAAAAGATCTAATTCAGAACAGATAAGAAACCAGGATTTACATGATCTGTTCCTCTGTGTCGGGACAACTCGATGTCGTTTTCTTGGAAAGATTCTTGATCTTGTCTTGATATTGTTTTCATGTCGTTGCAGAAAACGAACCCAATTGTGGCTGAGCTCTTCTCTCTAATGTCCAGAGATGAAGCAAGACATGCCGGGTAAGATCCCCTGCTTAAATCTCTCCTCTTTGGCGCGAAATCGGGCTAATGATAGATCTGTCATTTGAATTCGCAGCTTCTTGAACAAGGGTTTGTCAGATTTCAACTTGGCTCTTGACCTGGGGTTCCTGACGAAGGCCAGGAAATACACCTTCTTCAAACCCAAGTTCATCTTCTACGCCACCTACCTGTCCGAGAAAATCGGGTACTGGAGGTACATCACCATCTACAGGCACCTTAAGGCGAACCCCGAGTACCGATGCTACCCGATCTTCAAGTACTTTGAGAACTGGTGCCAAGACGAGAACCGCCATGGCGATTTCTTCTCGGCATTGCTCAAGGCTCAGCCTCAGTTCCTCAACGACTGGCAGGCCAAGCTCTGGGCTCGCTTCTTCTGTCTCTCGGTGACTAAAAAGCACTTTTACCTTTCTCTACCGTCGTGTTTCCGTTCCATCTACGTTGATCTGACCGGAGGAGGAAACGGGTCGTTGTTAAATCTCAGGTTTACGTGACGATGTACCTCAATGACTGTCAACGCACCGCATTCTATGAAGGAATCGGGTTGAACACCAAGGAGTTTGACATGCATGTCATCATCGAGGTAAGTGGCCATGCCCTTGAAAGAAATCAAAGTTTTCAAATGATTCTGAATGTGGAGGAAATTGGGGTGCTTTTGCAGACGAACCGGACGACAGCGAGGATATTTCCGGCGGTGCCGGACGTGGAGAACCCAGAGTTCAAGAGGAAACTGGACAGGATGGTTGAGATCAACGACAAGCTGATGGCCGTGGGAGAGAGCGAAGATCCATCGGTCGTCAAGAACATCAAGAGGGTCCCACTGATCGCAGCCTTGGTATCTGAGCTCTTTTCCGCTTACCTGATGCCTCCCGTCGAGTCTGGATCCGTGGACGTTGCTGAATTCGAGCCCACCCTTGTCTATTGATTACCCCTTTTGAATGTTTCTTTTTTGTTGTTGTTGTTGTTGTGTATTCAGACAAACTTATAGAAACCTGAGAGAAATATGGTTTTTGTATCTGTAGAGCCTCAATCGTCTTTTTTCTTTCCAGTTTTATTGCAGAACTGTCTATTTTAGTTGGTCTTTGGACCTGATGCCATAAATTCATATTTTCTTTGATAATACGAAAGATTATCGAATTTTTGATCCAATTATTCTTAAAGAGAACGTTCAGTTCAATCAATGCCTCTGATCAGTTGAAACACCCAATATTGGATCCATAGAATTCGGGTTCGGGATTCGGATTTGGGTGGACAAAGTTTTGATCAATTCTTTACCGCATCTAACATTAGATCCATAGAAATGTTAATATGAGAATCAGACCAAGTTGCCGGTCACTTGCTCAGTCATAATAGAAATATGATCAGATGATACAACAAGCACAAAATGCAATCTTCAAGATGTAGCAATTGACCCGTTTAAGGTTGTCTATTTGGCAAAGCATTCGTACAGACAAAATCTGAGACCTATAGAACTGATACAATAGGAACATGGGTCTCTCACTCTGTTCTGTTCCCATATTTCTGACATACAATTATACATCATCAAAAATTGGATTTATGGAAACCCTAAGCTTACTACCGAGACATCTGGTAAATGGAGAAAAAAAGAATAATGGAGACAATAAGGCCCCAACCGGTCTCTGTAGTACAAAACAAGCTCAGGGGTAGTTGACAGGGCTGCTCCTGTGGACAAAAAACGGATATGATTTTAGGCACCTGTTCTAAAGGTATCACAGCAGAAGAAGCAAACCCTACTTTCTCTGACAGGTTGATCGAGAACGAGATCACTCACAAGCTTATATAGTACATAGATACACCATGTTTATCTCTGTGTGTGTGTATAGGTTTTCTATGGCCTATTCCTAATTTGCCCACAGTGACTGCTTTGAAGCACATAAATAATGCATACAAAGAAAATAAAGGGGAACCTATGGAAATGGTAATTTACCTGGAGAGCAACATTTCTGAACTGCTTGTAAAATTGGCATACATCATAGCTGCATTAGGCCACTGCATATGCATTGCATCCCTGGATGATTGATTTAAACTTGCGAAGCCATAGGGACTCATAATCGAGCTTGAAGGTAGACCAAAATTGAGAGAAGCAGGAGTACTTGGGATCTGGCTAAACCCGGGAAAACCCATATCATAGATTGGTGGTTGCGTTTTCGGAATGTTGAAGGGCACCGGGCAGAAGTTCTGATTGACCGGAAGGCTCCTAATGTACCTGTATCAGTGCAAAAATGTCAAATGAGAGAACAAAAGCTCTCAACTTTATACAAATTAAGAAGAGCATGAAGGCTGAAGCTGAAGAAAACATCTACGCTCAGTTTTCCATTACTTGGCATTGATGGTTTAACGGCAAGAAAGCCAAACCCTGATGACATACCTATCATAACTGCGGTCATAATCAGGGTCAAAACGATCTTTCTCTCGATCTCTGAAAATGGCAACACGAGATGTCGGACCATTTTCCCTGATGCTAAAATTCTTTTCTGCCTCGATGGTGACATTCTTTGATACTTGATTGTCACCTCTGCTCGGACTTGTATTCAATTCATCTGCATAAGCTTGAGAAGAAGAGTCAGAGACTGAAAGACCATTAAAGATGCGAGCTCGTGCCTTGTCATACTCTTCTTTTCTCTCTTCAACACTTCTCATGGAGCCACATTTCTTTTCCAATTCACTAACTTCGGTTCCAGATCCTTTAGAAGGTCGAGGCTTGATGGCAATTTTCATGTGCTCAAATTTACCACTTTCCGGTTGTTTAGCCGGGATTTCAGACAGCCTAACGGCTGGAAACCTGCTCTCAGCTGTTTTTCTCACAAGAATTCTGTTCCCGTTGCCATCTAAACCACAATCTAGGACCGTTGTAACCAGCCCGTAATGGTGTGCAATGCGATGAGCTGCAAGCCTAAGATATGAAGTGGGGAAAGGCTGGAACTCAAACTGCTGCTGTTCAGGATTCTGCAAGAACCTCTGAATGTCGAGTTCCATACGAAGAACTGATACAGTAAAACAAAAAAAACGGGTCTTAGATACATGGACACAACACTTGATTGAAAGAAAAAAAGGATAAAACAAAGAAAGTTCATGAGACAGCCACAAACAACCTAAATTCAAAATATTCAGATCTATCATCCATGGAGAATACATTATACATAGCACATAGACTAAATGATTCATATAGAAAGTATACATTCACATCTACCATCACCATATGAGAAACCAAAAACTACTCGTACGAATCCCGCTTACGAATCGGTGCCCTCATTCTGGTGTTCAGTAGTAAGAAAACATGCCAAGATAACTCTTCATTAATTGCAACAAACGAATTCAGAGACCCATATCCAGGATAGAGGCTAGAGCTAAACAAAAACAGATCGAAATTCTCGCAATTTCCCTGCAAAATCAACCTACACTCGATCCAGACGGAGCCGCTTGGAAGAATAAGCAGCAATTATACAAAATCGAACCCTGAAATCCCAAACAACGATCTATGCTAAGAACAGATAAGCTGATAACATTCGAAAATCTCCTCGAACATGCCTACATACATGATGAGATTGCACCGAAATTCAGGAAAATTAGAGTTTCCGACGCGAAACCTAGAAAAAACGAAGCCGGGCAAAAAAGGGTGCGTACTCGTTAGACGATGACGAGGGTTTTGCAGAGCCTCAACCAAGAAAGGATCCACCATGGATTGCCTCTCTCCCAAAGGCGGAACCATCGCCGCTGCGTCTACCGGCGGCGAAGCCAAGGCTGCGGCCATGAGGAAGTCTCCAGAAACCTCTGGGTCCTCTCTCTCCGGAGATATCGCTGCTTCCCTTCTCTTGTTTCGTTCCTCTCGCAGCAAAGAGAAGGAATCAAGAGGAAGAGGAGAATCAAATTCGGAGCATTCGTCGAGAAGAGGAGGACTTTGGATGCAAATCTTATCTCTCTCGCTCTCGACAAGTCGTAGAAAATCGAGAGGGATTTCTATTTTTTCACTGTGTATTTTCCAATTTTCTTTAGGGTAAATATACTTAGCTTTGTGCTATCTATGGAATATAAAAAAATTGCAATTGTGTGATATCTTCAATAAAGTGTGCCAATTTCTTTTTGTTAATTTCTTCAAATTTTATATTTATTATTTATTCCTCAATTCATTTCTTTATTTTTTTTATAATACTGATGATAATGAATGAAATAAAATGAGTTTTGAAACATAATAACAAAAAGTAACACCAAATGTATATGTTATTTAATAACAAGATTTAGCAGAGATATCATTTAGAGCTAAAACTTAGAGACATGCGTGGCGGCGAGGAGACTCAAAAACAGCACACACTTTAAATGTGGGTCCATGTGTTCTGGATGGGAAGAAGTTTCCCGAGAATAGTATAGACTAGGGGGATAGTACGGATCAAATAGAAATATTTAGATTTGGATTCAAATTTTTTGAGTATCTAATTTTAAGATTTGTATACCAAATTTGTGTTTTAAGAGTATCTAATATCGAGAATAATGTTCGGGATACTCGTATATATTCGAATTCGGGTTTATTTAAAAAACAACAATATTTATATATAATTTTTTTTAAAAACTAATATATATTTATAAAAAAAAATTAATTAAGATTAAGAGATAAATAATAATAGATTTAGTTTTTTAGATAATGATAAGAAAAATTATTTAATCAAATAATTATATTTTATAACAATATTATATAGATATAAGGTGTAATTATTTATAATCTAATCAGTTGAATACCCATAGATATATAATTTTAAAAATTATATTATGCAGATTTAGATTTAAACTTAGATTCATGAATATTAAAAATTCGAATTTAAATTTAGATTTGAATAGATCAGTGACATGAGAATGGGGCGGATACCCTATCTTTGTGCCCGTCCTTGTAGAGACTGCTAAAACATAAACCTCTCTTATCCCTTAATAGATTGAAGTCAACGTGTGCTCTAATGCATTAATCCCTCACGCTCCTTCCCTGGCGCGTATTTCCATACTTGAAACCTGCGGATTTTCGGGTATCCGGTTTCATGGATATTCGAAACACGGATATCCTTTGCATAACGAAGACGAAAATGGGTTTGATGAAGCCAAAAATCTAGATTGCGGGTTCGAGTCCGGGTTTTGTTTGAATGGCGACGAATACTCTCGGATATTTGGATACGAATAAAATGACAATTATATCCCTAATATTTTGATATATTTACAATAATTATTTAAAATATTTTTATATTAAATTACTAAAATATCCTTAAAATCAACAAAAATCAACATTTTCTAACTAATTGGACGGGTTCGGGTATCCTCGGATAATCGAATTCAGCGATGGGTATCCGAACCACGGATACCCGAATTTGACGAAAACGAAAACGAGATAGCATTTTCTCAAAACCCGCGAAAACGAAATTCGGATATCCCAAAAACTTAGGGTACCCGACTCGTACCCACCCCTAATAATGATTATCACACATGATGATGATATCTATCTTCTTTGGAACAATCTCGATCCCTATGATGATATCAATAAAAAGATAGCGTTTCAGATTTGTTATATAACTGAATCTATACGTCAAATATTGTTTACTTTTCTTTAATATAATCACGTCTCAATTCTTATATCTGCAATTTCTATAAACAATAAAGAGTATCATGAAAGAATTTTCTTATTATATCATAAAGAAAAGGATTATAGAAAATATATTTGAAAAAAAGAAATATTTTAAATGTTTGATTGAAATTGTTGACAAGTAAATGATGGGGTAAATAAGGAAAAAAAAAACAAATGGATTGGATATGAAATCAGGATTCAGAAGCTTAGAAATTTATCATATGGTAATTCTGGAAATAAAATTCAATAAGGCTAATGTACAGTGCACATGGAAACATGTTATGTAAAAAATTGACGAAGCCTTGATGTCGGCGCGTGAGCCACGCGCTGAAGTCGGAGAAGAAAGCAAGCGTCCTTCGTCTTAAAACCCCGTCGCTTCCCGTGTTCTACTTCGCACCTTTCCTCTGCGTTTTCCTGGGAAATTGTCGTCTCCTTCACGATTGGGAACCCTAACCCTAGCTCCTCACGATGGCCAAACCCGTTATGGAGGAACCTCCTCCGGCGACTGCCTCCAACCCTAACTTCTCTTCCGAGTTCGACTCCGTCTCGATCCCTCCCTTCGACCATATGTTCCTCTCTGGCTCCGATCAGGACCCAGTTGGGAATCTGACCTCCGATCTAGGGTTTTCGTTTGACGGCGACGACGAATTCGAGCTCACCTTTGATGGTATTGACGATCTCTACTTCCCGGCCGAGAACGAGACGTTTCTCATCCCTGCTGCTGCCGGAGACCAAGAGCAGTTTGGAGATTTTACGCCGGAGTCCGAGGGCTCTGGAATTTCCGGCGATCGTGTTCCGGGACATGAGGATAACAACATGCATTGCTTGTCATCTTCGTCAGGCTCCTCCGAGCGGGAAATCCCCAGGGATTCCGGCGATCGGTGCTCTGGTGCAGAAAGGAGCCTGAATTCACCGTCGCCGGTGTCATCTCAGGGGTCGGGGTCGGGTAATTGTGCTTCCGGTGTTTCGCTGACCATGAACGCGCCCTCCCCTGAATCAGGAACAATGGTGGTGGAGCAGAAGGTTAAGGTGGAAGGAGGTGCCACGCCCACGACCAAGAGGAAGAAAGAGAACGAAGAGGATGCGAGTGGAGACTCCAGGACCAGCAAGTACAGAAGATCCACAGATAATGCCTCCGCCGCCAGCGCTGTGACCACTGAAGAAGACGAGAAGAGGAAGGCGAGATTGATGAGAAACCGAGAAAGCGCGCAGCTTTCGAGGCAGAGGAAGAAACATTACGTTGATGAGCTGGAAGAAAAGGTTAGAGCAATGCATTCTACTATAGCGGATTTGAACAGTAAGATATCTTACTTCATGGCTGAGAACGTTACATTGAGGCAACAGTTGGGCCCCGGTGCCGGAATCTGCCCCCCGCCGCCTCCACCTCTACCTCCGCCGGGAATGTATCCTCCGATGGCTCCGATGCATCATTACCCATGGATGCCATGCCCGCCGTACATGGTAAAGGCGCAAGGGTCGCAAGTGCCTTTGATTCCCATCCCCAGGTTGAAACCACAGCAACCTGTCTCCATGTCTAAGGCAAAAAATAAGAAAAGTGAAACCAAAACCAAGAAGGTTGCTAGTATTAGTTTTCTGGGTCTTTTGTTTTGTCTCTTTTTGTTTGGGGCATTAGCTCCCATCGTGAACATTAACTACGGGGAATACAGGTCTAACTACATCAGTGATAGGTTTATCGTTCAGCCTAGGGGAAGAGTTGTAGATGTCAATGGCAATCTGAATGGATCTGACAATGGTAGTGGTACGAGGTTCTCTGGTAGTAATAGGGCACAATGCGGGAGAGACACAGATGGCGTCGTGCCTGCAAGAAATGGAAGTGAACCTTTAGTTGCATCATTATTTGTTCCGAGGAATGACAAGCTTATGAAGATAGACGGGAACTTGATCATCCATTCTATTTTGGCGAGCGAGAAAGCCATGGCTACACGACAAAAGGATTCTGAAACTAACAATGACAGGAAAACTGATTTGGCAATTCCAAAGAATTTCTCTCCTGCACTGCCTATACCTGATGCCGGGAGGAACGGTGAAAAGCAGAAAGCTCTTTCTTCGGGCTCTGCTGATGATCTGAAAGATCATTTCAAGTCAACAGCAGCCAATGGTAAAATGCAGCAATGGTTCCGTGAAGGTCTTGCAGGTTAGTAATGGGTTTCTATTCTTATGTTATTCTACATCCCCATCACTTGACAATGAGAGCCTTCCATTCAAGTAGCATTTGCCATGCTAGAAATTCCTATCTTATCCACGCTTTGGTTAGCAATTTAGCAGAACTTTGCAACACATAAGTCAGGTAGAAACCGAATACCATCCTAGATCCAAGAGAGTTCATCAAGATCTTGTATGCTTTAGTCGTTTTATCTGAAAGCCGTCTTAGCAAAGCAATTTTACCTTAGCCCGAAAATTTAATTGTATGCACCTGGTTGGTTCTCCGTCCTCTGCGGCTTCAAATGGTTGTTTGATTCTGAATCTCATTCTCATTTGTGTCAACCCTTTGTTATATGTTTCTGTTGTAGGGCCAATGTTAAGTTCAGGGATGTGCACTGAAGTGTTTCAGTTCGATGTCTCAACTTCTGGAGCCATCGTTCCTGCATCCTCAGCTTCCAGTGTCATGACTGCACACCATAAGAACACCACCAATAACACAAACAGTGGAAAGAACAGAAGAATCCTCCGTGGACTTCCGGTTCCACTTCCAGTATCTGACTTCAACCTAACCAAAAACAACTCCTCACGAAACAGCTCGAGCGAAGATAAACTTGGAGAAACCAAACCTGCTTCATCATCATCATCATCATCCTCCTCGTCCATGGTTGTGTCTGTGCTTGTCGATCCCAGAGAGGGCAGTGACGGCGACATTGATGGGAATGGGATGATGGGGCCAAAATCGCTGTCCCGAGTTTTTGTTGTTGTGCTCATGGACAGTGTTAAGTATGTAACATACTCCTGTGTCCTCCCCCGACCAGGAGGCGGCCCTCATCTTGTCGCCAGTTGAGTTAGAGATTTCACATCTACCTGTATTTAACAGAATAAGAAGCTACTGGAGCAACCTGTATTCTTGTCGGCCGTTTTTTGGTTAAAAGATGCAGAACCCAGACTCTGTAAAACTTTCATCTTTTGATATATTACTAATCCTTAAGAGACTTGTTCTACATTTTGCCAACTGATCTAACTTCTGTAATTTCCATCATCAGTGAAGCATTCTTAGATATACATGGTGACCAAAAATGAAAAAGGAACTCGTTGAAGAGTTGCTGTTCATGTGTATTTCTGGAACTATTCGGGTCAATGGTGGTAGTTATAGGACAACAGAAGCCGAACTCTGTTATTGTAAAAGAGGTGAAGTTTCCGACTTATTCTGATGAAGAAGCTGATTCCATCGTCTGGATAGATGGTGCAGTGACAACAGTCATCTTCATGTCAGGAAGATTGCCATCGCTAGCTCGTTCCCGGAGCTCTCTGTACTCTTGGCAAAGAGCGCACAAGTGGCAGAAGAAGTGTGTTACGAAATCCCCACATGGAGCTTCCTGCACCATGAAACTTAAAAGGAACTCGTAAAAAATGGGGAAATCCATGGACGTGGTGCCATTCAAGTCTCTTACGATATATATATACCTGCAAATTATACTTTGCCCTTAGCGCTCTCCGGTAGCTGCAGGCATAACAAGAAACAAGGCATCCGGGTAAACCAAGCAACATGCCATCGGTTGCCAAACAGCAAATGGTGTTTACGAAAGCCCACATGATAAAGTGAGTTAGGCATGATCCTGCAAACGTTCCCGACCCCAGAAACTCTGCGTTTTTGCCAAAGATGTAACATGGACAGAACAGACCTATAACGCCTGTTGAAGTAAAACATAAAACCATAGTAAGTTTCATACCAACCTTATCAAATAACTGCCGTAATCTTCATTCACCATAGAGAAGATACGGTGTTTGGCATTTCTCATCCTCATAAAGTGTGAAGCTTGACCAATACAAGACAGTGTTTGACATGAGTAGCATAAAGAAACTCAGGATAGAAACAGACTACGGAATCTGAAGATTCAGAGGACAAGAACAATATAGAACATGTTTCTGCATCAAAGCTTTACACACGGGTTGTCCATCTTATCTAAATTCCTCCCTAATCTAGTCAAAATACAAACTCGGGTATCGATTGAGCCAAGAGTTTGGATAAGAATAAAAGGTAGCAAAACTTTATTTGAACAAAGACAAGACACCAAGAGTACCCTCCAACATGGGAGAAGTTCCTTGTCCTCCAGCTATGCCAATACACGTCCCATAGATATACCTAAAAACTATGATAGAAAGAGAAAACTGATAATAACAATCAGAAATATCAATCGAGAACTACTAAAATCAAGCCTGATCACCAACAAGACTTGATGATTCGATGATATACTCATCAATCCCCTAGTTCATTCATTCCCTATCAGTCGTGCTCTTCTGTATAAAGCCAGAGCACAAACAATCGCCAGAACCAAACCAATATTCAATACTGTCCGATCCGAAAACCGTTATAATCAGAAACCTCAACCAGTAACTAAACACAAACATGTCATATACACATATCACAGTTCTTATTCAAAGAGGCACCTTAACAACTTTTGGTTCCTGAAAATTCAAGGTTTGGAGGACAGAGTAGCATACAGCTCTGGATGTCGTCAAAGCACGCGCATATACCCGATGACCATTGTTTCAGGTCTTCGCTATTGCATCCGGAAACAGCAACTTCCCTGTCCGGAGTTGCTTCCACATCTGTATCCGATTGTCCTAACGGGACATAACGCGGCGGCACATAACTTCCCCCCTGCTCTTTCATCCCGGTCCAATACTTTCTTCGAATCCGAGTTCCAGTACTATCTCGCTGCTCCACAGGAAAAAAACTCTAGCTAGGACCAAATCTGTAAGACAAAATATGAGAGCGAACATGAATATACAGATACGCATTTACATGGTCACAGAATAGACATCAAAATGTGCGAGAAGAGAAACATCAGGAAGTGAAGAGTGTGAAGGGCCAGTTGAAGAAAGAGGAACGATAAGGGACAGAGGATCGGGGAGTTTCCGCCATTTGCGAGCGGTGTAAAGAATGACGAAACGAAATCTCAGCTAAAAGGAAGAGGAAAAAAGAAGACGCCCAGAAATTCCGGTGTACGGTGAATCAAGCTGAGGTTTACCTAAACATGAGCAGTCGGATTTCCCGGCGGCGAAGGATGAATCTCCGATGATGGAGGAAACTCAGGTTCAGAGCTTCGCTGTTCTTGAATTACTCTTTTCTCTTTTCTCTTCAAAATTACTCTTTTCACACCTATTAATAAATAGAGTGGGTATATATATATATATATATATATATATCGTCATTAGAACATATAATTTGTCAATTTCAAACAAATTGAGAAATCGTAAATAATTTAATTTAAACAATATATTCAAGGAGTTTTGTTATAGAAAAATAAACTAAATGTTTATTATTATATTTAACAAATTGGTGTAAGCTTTTTTACTTCACAAATTCCTTCGCAAACTGAGGTTGAGGTAATGCCGAGGGGCTTCTTTGACTGTTCTGTCCTCCCAAACAAGCCGTTAGGGTTTTGCCCTAACAACCACCGCATCACCGCCTAGAACTCGCCGGAGCCACACGGTGGCAGACGGCGGCTCAATCGTCCCCGGCGTAATCCCGGCTGTATTCTCTTCGCTCTCCCTGGACTCGCTGACGCTCGCGGAGTGATTACGATCGTTTTAGATTTTCTTCGATCTCGGAGCATAGCCATTCATGGCGGAGGTATCGATGGGAAGCAGCAGTAGCAGCACGGAGCTCTCTCCCGAGGAGGAGAGGGTTTTGATCAGAGACATTGCCATTGCCGCCGAATCTAACAGCAAAGAAGGCGATACATTTTATCTCATCACCCAAAGGTCCAGTGCCATTTCTCTCGGGGACCTTGTTGTGTCTGAAATTGCTATTTTCAATTCAACGTTTGTGGGTCTCCCGATGAAAAATCTTGTTTTTCTTCGTATGTCCGAGCTTTTGTCTGGGTTAAGATGGATGGTCTGACGTTGCAGATCTGTTTGGCCAGTGATGCTGAGGTTTAACTGTGTAGAAGTTGTTATTGTCGGAACGTTTTTTGTAGAATTTTTGCTGTGATTTGGCAAATTGTTAAGTTATGCAGCTCTTGTTTGCTCTTTATGAAGTTAAAAGTTATTAGATGGCTTATGGTTATGGGTAGTGCAATAGATTTCAGCACTGGTTAAAGGGCTTGATATTGTTTTGCCCTGCTGCTGCAGCTTGGTGTCCGATTTTAAAACATTCTATGTTGCTATTGTTTCTGTGCAGATGGTGGCAAGAGTGGATTGATTATGTTAACCAAGACCAACCATGCAACACAAACGACGGGTCTTCATTGTCAGAGCATTGTGATTCTGCTGGCTCAAGCACCTTAAAGAAGCCTTCTAGGATTGATAACTCTGATTTGATCTATGATGCTATGTCAGAGGACTCTGGTAATGCCATTGAGATTCTTGACACATTGCAGGAAGGCCGTGACTATGTCTTGCTCCCACAAGAAGTGTGGAACCAACTGCATTCATGGTGAGTCATATGTAGAGAACACTACAACAAATGGAAATTTTCATTTCTTCCTCGAAGATTGGGTTATATATTTCCTTCTCTGTTGTAACTCATGTACCTCGAATGGGTAAGAACTGGCTCAAGATGCTTGTAGAACTCTACAGAGGACAAAACGAATTACTTACTCGGATCTATTCTGCTAGTCAGTCATGCTGCAATATATGGATGAGATGGTCATCACCTTCGTTTATTTAGGTATGGAGGTGGTCCAACTTTGCCACGAAGAGTCATTAGCTCAGGTCTCTCTCAGACAGAGTTGGCCGTGGAGGTGTATCCTCTGCGTCTTCAGCTACTTCTGATGCCAAAAGATGATCGCTGTGCCATAAGAATAAGCAAAAAGGTAATTCCTCGTTTCCGTTCTTATTTTCTGATCCACTATCCTAAGAATATGAATTCATTATTCTGATGACTTATCTGACCTCTAAATTTGCGCTGCAGGAAACTATCAGAGAGCTCCACCGCAGGGCCTGTGAAATATTTGATCTCAATTCAGAACATGTAGAGATCTGATATAACTCTATAGCTGAACATCGCGTTCTCATGATCTTGTTTTTTACTTTTCTTTATTTCTTTATTCATGAGAATATCTCGTCATGTAGGTATGCATTTGGGATTATTTTGGCCACCAAAAATATACTTTGATGAATGACCTAGATAAAACCCTGGACGATGCCAACCTACAAATGGATCAGGATGTGAGTTCATTTATTCTCTCTTATTTCTTATATATCTAAACTTGGCACTAATCCTATGGTACTTGAATTTCTGTTACTTCAGTGGCATTGTACCTTGCTGTATCAAGTTTATATTAAGGATAGTTCTGACTACTCTTCCACGGTTATTCATAGAGTTACAACCATTTACATGAAAAGCAGTGACATTTGAATTTGAAGGCACAGAATGGAAAGAGAGTTCTTGTTATGTTGCTTGAGTAATAACATTTGAAAGAAAAATGTTATGATTCTACCCCGCAGTTAGTTGGCTAAGTACCTAGTTTATTTGGTTTCCATGATTATTCTTTTATTTTATGTGTTCTGTCTGATACTCATTTTTTTCCCTGTGATTTTGTATTCTACCATTACAAACAGATTTTGGTGGAGGTCCTTCACGCCAATGGTACTGCCTCGGGTGGCCGAATGCAATCTGTTAAAGAGAATGGATTTGTAGATGAAGATGCTACTTCTGTTCTCACTCAACCATCTAAGTCAAGTTTATCAACTGCAGGAGGTTTCTCTTATACGAAGAAAACGTGGTAATTAGTTGAGAGGCAAATAGTATTCTTCTCTGCCAAATGATTTAATCAGATTCCTTCCCTATCAACTTTCAACTGTTTCTACATGCTGCAATCTGATATCTGTTTCCAACAGTAAGGAATGCTTTTGTTTTGCATCGAGGAAGGTTTTCATGATTGACGGTGTCATTTCTGTCTTATCTTCTCGTTGTGGTCTCACGATTTACCCCCTGTTGTCTCTGTATTATCTCCTCGTTATCCTCCTTAATACGAATATCATATGTTTCCAGGAATGCTTTTAGAAGTGGAAGCATTGAAGTTTCACTATCTCAGAACCAAACATCTTTGGATAATGCATACGGAAGCAGTGGTGTCACCACGAGGGGCTCCACTGCTGGCTTGACAGGGCTGCTGAATCTCGGGAATACATGCTTCATGAATAGTGCAATACAATGTCTGGTTCATACCCCTGAATTCGCTAGATATTTCCAAGAAGATTACCATCAAGAAATAAATTGGCAAAACCCTCTGGGGATGGTTGTAAGTATCTGGGCTGAGTTCCTCGTTACCATATGTAATGTATGATGCGTACGCATATAAGAGTGTGTGTGTGTGTGTGAGGATTTGGGGCAGATAGAGGCATTGTTGATTTGTTTATTATTTCTATAATCTTTTCCTGCGGCATGTCGATGATTTCTTACGTATGTTTATTAGGAGCGGGGATGTGATTGAGAAATGCTAGCCTAATTTTGTGTAACACATAACATGGAAGGCGTTCTAGGATAATTTAACTTTACATAGGACGGGGAACATGTGGACTTGGTGGCTAAATAGTAGGTATTTAGGATCCCTTGCCTTGCATCATGAGAAGTTGCAGGTCCCATTCATTTCTCACATATCTATATCAATCTCGTAATATTTTATTTGTACGATGTTATACATTCATATTTACTCATATTTGTCTTAAGGTATTGTTTCTTGGGAACTTGATTGAAGTAATTTATCTTCATGTATACGTTCTTCAAATAATTTCCTGATTTGCTTTTCTGAAATTGGAGACGCTAATTCAATGCCTGCTTGATTATTTTATTTTATAATGCATAGGGAGAATTAGCTCTTGCATTTGGTGACCTGCTCCGAAAGCTATGGGCTCCTGGACGCACGCCAATTGCGCCTCGTCCATTCAAAGCGAAACTCACTCGTTTTGCTCCTCAATTTAGTGGATACAATCAACATGATTCACAGGTTTGCTGAAGCATATAAAGGATTTTCCATACGCTGCACTTAATACTTATATTGCAACTCAAACGCTCCAATGATATCAACTGCAGGAGCTTTTGGCGTTTCTGCTCGATGGTCTACATGAAGATCTGAATCGCGTTAAACACAAACCATATATAAAGTCTCGAGATACAGATGGCCGTCCAGACGAAGAAGTTGCTGACGAGTTTTGGGCTAATCACATTGCTCGTAATGACTCCATAATTGTTGATGTATGCCAAGTGAGTATCGATTCTCTTTCTTTATAATCTTGTATGAGTTACCTCTCTTTTGAAGCTTTTATATAAAAAAATACTCTTTTTCGACTTGGAATCCTGAAAGGCCAGCATGAGTAAGCTGAACATCAGATCCTTTTTGCTTATGAGAAACATTTCTGTGATTTTACAAAGATGTGGTATTAAAGATGGGCATCTCACCGGTCTATGTTTGCATCAATGGAGTTAGTCCCAACGCTTATGTGAATTTAGCCTTATGAAATGCTATAACTTTGATATAACAACTCTTCTAGTAGGCCATGCACAAAAGATTTTTCATCTTCTCCAGGCTTCAAACATGAGCAAATAGAACAAGAAATTGCTGCTTCTTTTTTTTTTTTAATTTCAATTTAGTAATGTAAGGATTTCACACTTAACATCTCCTATAATGTCTCACCTCGCAGGGGCAATACAAGTCAACTTTGGTGTGTCCTGTCTGCAACAAAGTTTCTGTAACGTTTGATCCCTTCATGTACCTGTCTTTGCCTCTTCAGTTCAACACAACCCGGGCGATGACTGTCACAATTGTTCCTTGTGACGGTAGTGCCTTGCCTTCTGTTGTTACTGTTAATGTTCCAAAGCAAGGGCGTTGTAGAGACTTAATTCAGGCATTAGCAATTGGCTCTTCATTGAAACAGAGCGAAGAGCTTAAGCTTGCAGAGGTTTGTGACCTCGGACACTTTTATTGTTGATATTTCCCGACCTTTTTCTTTTGTTTAACCAGGTTGAATTTGTGTTAACAGATTCGAAATCATTTAATTCAAAAAGTTTTTGAAGACCCTTTAATCTCATTGTCCACTATCAAAGACGACGACCACCTTGCTGTGTACAAAGTTTCTCAGTCTTCGAAGAATACAGTTCTACTTAGACTGATACCTCGCCGTAGAGACCAGTAAGTATATATGATATATCTCACTATTGTTTTTGGTGGAATGTATATATCACTCTACTGTATACGAAGAAAACGTGGTAATTAGTTGAGAGGCAAATAGTATTCTTCTCTGCCAAATGATTTAATCAGATTCCTTCCCTATCAACTTTCAACTGTTTCTACATGCTGCAATCTGATATCTGTTTCCAACAGTAAGGAATGCTTTTGTTTTGCATCGAGGAAGGTTTTCATGATTGACGGTGTCATTTCTGTCTTATCTTCTCGTTGTGGTCTCACGATTTACCCCCTGTTGTCTCTGTATTATCTCCTCGTTATCCTCCTTAATACGAATATCATATGTTTCAGGAAAGTGGGCGGGAGTCAAACTACAGCGCAATGGAAACCTTTTGGAGCACCTCTTCTCTCATCGATTTCACATGAAGACGGTGCGATCACAAAGGGAGAAGTGCGTTCCATTGTCCGAACCATGCTTTCACCTTTCATAAGGGAAGATCATTTGGTGAAAAATGAAATATCGGATCCTAACATCTCTGGAGGAAGATCAGCCCGAGGCAATAATACCAAGGCAGACAATACAAATGGTGCTCAAGACACTGACAAGGAGGGTGGTTCCTCTAAAGTGAGCTCGCCAAAGTTACACCTGCAACTCGTAGATGAAAACAATAAAAGCATTGATCTGGAAGGGGACGAAACGGAAGTTATTACAATTCCCACATCGGGTTCAGTAACTATTTCTTTGGATTGGTCGCAAGAACTTTCGGGTATTTATGATATCAGTTTATTCGAGAGCTTGCCCGAAGTGCTCAAATACGGGCCTGCTACCAAGAAGAGCCGTACTGAACCTCTCTCGCTATATGCATGCCTGGAAGCCTTTCTCCGCGAAGAGCCATTGGTGCCTGAAGACATGTGGTGTGTGAACCGCTCTCTCTATATGCATGCCTGGAAGCCTTTCTCCGCGAAGAGCCATTGGTGCCTGAAGACATGTGGTGTGTGGTTATTCCATTTCTATCTCTCCTATCGTTTCGTTTACGTTTTCTGTAAGCATGATGTTAAAAAATGGTTCTATATATGATTGTATTGCTCTTGTTAACTTGGTTGCTAATCGGTTTTGAGGTATGGCTCGTGTTTTTCTGGTAAGGTACTGTCCACAGTGCAAGGAAAGGAGGCAGGCAAGTAAAAAGCTTGATTTATGGAGGCTACCCGAAGTTTTGGTCATCCATCTAAAGAGATTTTCGTATAGCAGGTCTATGAAGCATAAGCTAGAAACATTTGTTAACTTTCCGATTCATGACCTCGATTTAACCAAATACGTAGCCAACAAAACATAAGCTAGAAACATTTGTTAACTTTCCGATTCATGACCTCGATTTAACCAAATACGTAGCCAACAAAACCCTCTCTCGACCACAACTGTATGAACTATACGCCCTCACAAACCATTACGGCGGGATGGGCAGCGGACACTACACCGCACATATCAAGGTGAGGGCGATTACCATGACCTACTCTTCTTTTGCATATCTTTAAACTTTCCTTCGCTGTTACTTTACTAGGCGTACCCATTTCGGATTTCGGTTCGGTTATGTTTGGATTTGGTATTTCGGTTTTAGAAAAACAACACCCATTTGTTTTTTTATATTGGATTAGGTTCATTTCTTATTAAATTATTCATTTTTCCAAAGAATGTTACTTTTATATTCGGTTTTTTCAGTTTTAGAGAAGTCATATCCATTCGGTTTTTTATATTGAATTCGGGCCGGATCAATTTGTCATAACCAAACCAAAATGACCGCCCCTACTGTCACTGTTTGTTAATCCTAGGGTTACTGTATATTGACCATTTTCACTGAATACGTTTGGTCAAATCCTGACTAAAGTAGTATCTCTGTTCTGTCTGGATCAAGCTTGGCTGCTCGGATACACTTTTCGTGTCGGAGATTCTTGAGTTGGTTATGTTTCTAACATCGACATTCTTCTCCGCATTTGTGGCCGCAGCTTTTGGACGAGAATAAGTGGTACAACTTCGACGACAGCCATATATCGCAGATAAACGAGGATGATGTGAAGTCAGCTGCTGCTTATGTGCTCTTTTACCGGAGGGTAAGGACCGATGCAGGCCGAGAGGATAAACACTCTCAATAGTTAAAAAAGTTCCGTATAAGTTACTACGACAATGTCCCCCGGGGTAATAAAAACGAGCTCATCGATTCCAAGTAATTTGCTCCTCTTTTAGGTGTTCCGCCTTCTGAGTTACAATGCATTTTGTTTACAGGTATCATGACACTGAATGCTCCGAGGAAGAAATTTTCAGGATTAAAGCCATAATCCATGGAGCCAAGAACCTGAACCATTAGCTGTGCCATGAATTCGAATCTTGTAAATGAAAGTACTCAGTATTTGTTGTTGTTTCACGACTAATTTCGACGATTCAGGGAACAGAAGTGGCCGCAAAAGAGTCGAGTTTCAAGTAATACATCGATCGATCAATCATTCATTTCGCTCTCTAACGTTAACATGTAAGCCTCCTTTGATCCTCAGGGTTATCGAGAGCAAGTACTTCGGATCGTTCTTCTGGTTGACGACATCAATCCAAAACCTCTCCAAGACAGTGGCAGCGATCGATTTCATCTGAATGTAAGCCATGTCCTTCCCCATACAGATCCGAGGACCCGCATGGAATACTGGGAACTTGAACGGAGTCTCTGGCTTGAAAACCCCACCCTCGATCCATCTCTCAGGGTAATACCGCTCGCAATCCTTCCCCCATAAGCTCTCCATCCGCCCCATTGCATATGCCTCGTATGTCACGAACCATCCTTTTCCTACGAACGTCCCGTCGGGTAACACGTCGTCCTCTAGACAGGTTTTCGAGTCCATTGGAACCGGTGGATACAGTCTCAAAGCTTCCGTCATCGAGGCGTGCAGATAATTCATCTCTTTCAGATCCTCGAAACTGTAAGTTTCCCCGATGCTCTTCCCGGTTCTTGCCCGGATCGATTCTAGCTCTCGGAGGATCTTTTGTTCCACGTCTGGATGCGACGAGAGTAACCAGAAGAACCAGCTTAAGGCGGCGGACGTGGTGTCTCGCCCCGCGAGCATGAAGTTGATGACGTTATTCCTCAGCGACTCGGGCGAGTTCATTTCATCGATCCCGATAAATCGGGACAGCAAATCCTCGTCCTTGCTCCCGGGATCACCGCCCTCCAACCTCCTCCGAATAATATCATCCGCAAACCTATGAACCACCTCGATCGATTCTCTCAACTGCTTCTCGGATCCCAAGTTCAACTTCCTCTTCAACTTCCATATCTTCGGGTTTATATACATGAACCTCTCCAAGCTAAGTAAATTCGCGGTGTCGAAGGCCCGGATGAGTTCGTCGCCGTCGCCGGAATTTCCTCTGCCGCCGGCGAGAGAAGATGGGTCCACGTTGAAAGCCAACTTGCAGATATTATCGAAAGCGAATCGCTCCAACACGTCCTGAAGGTCCAACACGTGTCCTGTTTTCGCAGCTTCTGTCAACTTCGGAATCAGTCTGAAAAGCGCAACGAACGAACACAATAAGAATTGTCATCACCGAATCACCGATCTAAGTGACCATTTCGGTTCAGTTGTGTTCTGGTTCGATTTTAAATAAATTATAATTATTCGATATTAATAGTGAATTCGGTTCGATTCTATTTGGTTTGGTTTTAATTCAAATTGATAAAAACATTTGAAAATTTTGTTTTCGCGATGATTTTGTATTTGGTTTGAATTCAACTTTTAAATTTTAAAAAAATTTATAGTCATTCAGCTTTTATATTAGATTCAATTTTATCAATTTAATTTATTATTCGGTTAGAATTCTGATCACCAAATTTATCGGTAATGTTCTCATATTTTGTGATTGGCGTATATATAGTTAAAAGGTACAAAACCGTGTCGTGATTTCGTCGGAAACGTTGTCCATGACGAAGTGACGAAGCGACCTCGTGTTGAACTCGCGGCTCGCGTCTTCCGCTGTATCCGCCACGTGTCACCGTCCGAGTTGAAGATCCCTCGCCCGAGCATATCCTCTAGGTGCGATATGAACCGTTCTCCTCTCGGGAAATTCTCGAACCTCGTCTTCGTTATGTATTCGACGTTCGCCGGATTCGCCGTTATGACGCCGTGAAGTTTTCCCGGTGTCCGGAAAACCGCCGTGTAGTTCGGACAACGCGACAGTACCTCCGTTGTCCGCTCCAGAAACCGGTGCCGGTTTCTTATGAAACCCGGCATGGTTCCGATGATCGGATATGACTTGAAGCCGGTTTCCGGCGAGGTTCGACGGCGTGAAGATGCGTGGAAGGCGAAGAAGATGAAGAGAGGGAGAAAAAAGAAGACGAAGACGACGAAGAGGAGGTCCATTTTTTGTTAGATTTTTTTTTTGGATTCGATGGTGAGTATTTGATGAGGTTAGAGAAAATGTATCGGACATATATATATATACGCACACGTGAGTGTGATACAAGGTCCGGACTAATTAATTACCGAAAAATAAACAAAAAAAATAGATAAATAAAATGCATATATATATATATATATATATATGTGTGTTTATTTGAGATATTCATCATATTGGATCATTTCAAGTTGTTCATGCTAATTTTTAAACAAAGTTTTTTATTTTATTTTTTAAAACAAAGTTGATTATTTTTTTTATTTTTTTATAATCCGAAAGTTCATCGGACCTTTGGTCCGACTACATCTCCCAGAAGATTGGGAAAGTCCAGGTGAATGTCCTTCTCTACGCTTGGATTTGAACCCAAGGTGAGAAGTAACAAAGTTGATTATTATTAAGTGATGGCAGACGTAACTGCGATATCCTTGGGGAACAAGGATAGTTGACAACGTGGTTATAGAAATGGTAAGAGTAACAGTGGTGCATATTAAAATTCTTTTAAACTTGGAAAAATAACATATAAACACCTAAACTTTTATAAAAATCTCATATAAATACATGAACCATAAAACTTCTATATAAATACCTAAACTTTTAAAAATCCTATATAAATACCTAAATTTTTGAAATTTTCTCTAAGTAAATACAAATTTTAGATATTTTTTAAATAAAAATAGATGATATCATTAACGGATTTTGGATTTATTTGGGAGTTTTTCAGAAATCTAGGTATTTATGTAGAATTTTAGAAAAATTCAAGTATTTATATAGAAATTTTATAGTTTAGGTATTTATGTGAGAGTTTTGTAAAAGTTTAGGTATTTTATATGTGATTTTTTTTAAAACTTCCTAAGAAAATTATTTAACTATTTCAAAATGTAAACCGATTTATCGAAGGCCAAACTAGTGAATACAATCTAAAAACAACTTTTGCAAATACATTTGTATAAAAAAAAATTCAATAGAAATTTTCTATAGCGAAAAATCTATTTCGATTTATGTACTTTGCATCATAAAATTCTGTATATAAAAATTAGAGGAAATTAATGATTTAAAACCAAACAATTAAATGATCAAACACACTGCGCAGAATATATTTTTTTTACAATATAAAATACAAACATTATTAAAAAATTAAATGAAAATTCCCAAGACTATTAATATCAACAATTAAAATGCAGAGAAACCAAAGATAATTGTATTTTGAACTAAATAAACTTAAAAATGCAAAAAAAAAAAAAAACAATGAAATTTTAAAAAAAAAATCGAGAAAACAAAGCCATGAGCAGCATGGAGTTAGCCCGTTTAACTTAAGAGCCCTTAACGTATTGGGCTTACAATAGGCCCATATATTAAATGGACCGACCGAACAATTGAACTTTCCATTCCGACAAAATCTCCGTAAACCTTGGAACACTTAGGGCTGGACACAAATACCCGAAAATTGGTATCCGTCAGATACTCGTCTCATGGATATCAGATTTTAGGGTACTCGTAATTTTCAAATCCAAATCTAAATCCCGATTTTTCAATATCCGTGAATCCGAATCCAAATCCGGATAATAGAATTTTTAAAACCGGATACCCACGGATACCCGACTATTATGATTATAAATAATTATATCTTATATTTATATAACATTTTTATAAAATATAATTATTTTAGATTAAATAATATCATATTTTTTAATATTAATTCAAAAAAATTAAATTTATTATTATTTATTTCTTATTATCTCTTTTGTCTCATATATTTTATCATAATTCAATAATTTTTATAAATATATCTTTATTTTTTGAAAATTTTATATATGAATATTGTTGTTTTTCTTAAATAAATCCGGATCCGGATACCCGCGAATACCCGACCATTATTCCGGATACCCGTATCTCAGATACTCGTAAATACCAAATCCCGGATACAAATCTTATAGTCAAATTATCAGATATAACATAGTGTTTCTATGGGGCTAAAGTTGTAATTTGTGTTGATTCATAATGTATATATACAGAAAACAGAGAGAAGCTGAATAACAGTTTTCATTTTCTCCAACTACTCTCTCTCTACAGTGACTTTCTCTCTCTTGGCGATTCATGTTTGTTTCTTCTCCGATATCGTCTGATATGGTATCAGAGCGGAATCTTGCTTTTCGCTTCGTTTTTCCTGTTCATTTTCTCTGATTTTCCTCGTTTCATCGAGTGTTCTTCGTTAATTCCTCTTGGATCTTGAAGATTTGTTCAAGATCTTTGTATCAATGGCGACGACGGATGTTGGTCTTACCGATGAGGTAGATGTTCCTGTTCATAGCCATTATTATCTTGGATCTAGTGATCACACGAATGTAGTTCTTGTCTCGGATCGCCTCAATGGTCCGGAAGATTACAGTTCTTGGTATCAATCCGTCATGTTGGCGCTTGAAGGCCGAAATAAACTGTGTTTCATCGATGGAACTCTTCCGAAACCGCCTGATAGTCATCCTGATAAAAGGTTATGGTCTCGGAATAATGTTGTGGTCAAATCTTGGCTAATGCACTCTGTTTCTAAAACGATTGCTTCGAGTTTGATGTACATTCCGACTGCAAAAGGAGCTTGGGAGAATTTGGAAACAAGATTCAAGCAAAATAATGTTCCCAGGCGCTACAGTATCAAGCAATGTTTGCGTTCTCTAAATCAAGGTTCTTCCACTGTTTCTGTTTACTATACCAAATTGATGACTCTTTGGGAAGAATTGAAGGCTGTTCGTGTCAATCCTCATTGTGAATGCGGCAAGTGTTCATGTCAGTTGAATCAGAAGTGGAATGAGTTACATGAAGAAGACTTTGTGATTGAATTTTTGTTTGGACTGAATGAGTCTTATGAAGGCATTCATGGACAAGTCATTATGATGGATCCTTTACCAAATCTGGAAAGGACCTACAATTTAATCACACAACATGAACAGCAACGATTGATCAAGCCTTCTGTATCGAATGAAGCACATGTTTTTTAGACTATTTCAGTCCCTGAAAATGTTGTAGCAGCAGCTCCTACTAACAATTTCAGGTAGAAACAGAGACCGTTATGCACGCAT